AATTAAAGGATTAAAGGGGGAACTTACAAAAGAATAAAACTGATTATCATCTGTACTTATCGCGAATTTGGTAGCTAGCATGAAAAGGCATACAGTTGCATTTATAAAGTCAGATGGTGATTACACAATATATTAATTTTAGTTAATTGGTTATGTATTTTTTAAATAAAAAAAAAATTTTGAATTTACTTACTTGTAGTCAGAGTTAGAGGCGGTCGGATACTTATGATCACTACTATATATTAAAACTTTAGTAAAAAAATTAGCAAAACTATAGTTTAAACATTTTGCTAAATCTAAAATGAATTTAGACAAGTAACCTTTACTTTATGCTCTACATCTGTAATTATCTATAATAATTAAAACTTGTTTACTATAAAAATATTCAGTTGATTAACATGATTTTCAAATAATTTGATAAATATTTACAATATAAAGTATCTGATTTTAGAATAAATCCTCCTTTATTACAATTTTTATACAGCCAATTTTGAAATTTATCTACTTTTTCTAACAAAATATTAGCCTTTACAAATATATCTATTAAATTATATATAAAGTTTTTTTTTATTTTAGATACATTAATAATAGTTTAAATAGTTAGTTATTTTTTATCTATTTGTTCATTTTTCTTTTTATTACGAGTGTATTTTAGAATCTATATAAAAAGTAATTGTATTTTGGTTTGAAAATTAATACTATAATTATAAAAATGACACATAAGTTTTCTATTATTCACAAAAAATTTTTAGAAAATTTTTGCATATATAATAAAACAGTAACTATAATATAAGGTGGCATTTTAATTAAAAATTTTAAGGGGTAAAAAATTGACATTTTATATTATTACAGAAAATTGAAGAAAAAAAAAGAATGAAAATCATGTAAAAATTTAAATATTCTTCCATTTCTTTGTAATAATTATTAGATATATAATCAAAATTTAAATTATCCTTTTACTCAAAAGATTTAAATTAATTTCTTTTGCTGATTTGTGATTATTATTAATTAATTATTATATGTCATAAAAAATTTATCAAAAATTCAAAAAATTTTATTTTATTTTTTTATTTCATTATATAGCAAAAATTTGATTTATTTATTTATTATAAAAATGGATTTCTGAGTTAGCCTTATATAAATTACATAATCAGTTAAATATTAATAATTTATTAAATAGGTTAATTTTCAATTATGTAATATTTTTGTTACTTCTTCTGGTATTTGTTCTTATAATAAAATCTAAATAGTTAATAAAAAACATCTTTGATGATAGAAATAATTTATGTGATATAGTATAATAAAGTATTAATGATAAAAGATAATATAACTAAATTTATTAAATATTAAAAATTAATCAAAATTATTTAATAAGCTTTTAAATATATAATTATTAATGATTTAAAATATGATTTAATTTATATATTTAGACATAATTTTTATTATCAATCTGTAATTAAGTATTTTTTTACATTTTTATATTATTTTTATTAATTAATACTATTTAATCTTTTAGATTTTATTTTTAGAATGTATGTATTATTTTAAAAACTTTATTTATAAATAATTCAAATGTATATTTTTACCTATTAAACTGATAAGAATGATAATAAAGATAATAAAAAAAATTATGATGAGAATGATAATATGAATAATAATATATATAATTGACACAGAATATTATAAATAAAAATCTTTAAAATAATCATGAGAAAGAGAAAAAAAAAGTTAAAGACAAATAAATTAAAGTAATAAAAAATAATAAATATTTAAGATATTTATATATTAAAGTTTTTAAATCTATAAAACATTTATTTTGTTATCAGAAGAAATTTTGTAAAATTAAAAAAAAATATTATAAAAGAGAAAAGCAAATAGTAATTGAAGTTTATAAATAATATATAAAATAATTTATAGAGATGTTAAATTAAAAAACATAATAGTGATGAAAAAATGTTTACAATTAAGACTTATATATAATAATTGATTTATTTAAAGTAAAATAGGTAATATAAGATATAAATATAGAGTTAATTGAGTTAAAATAATTATTTTATATAATAGAAATAAGAAGCATTATCAGTATACTTTATAATATTTAAATATCATAAAAAAAAAAAAAATAGAAATAAACAAGCTATAAAAATAAGTAATAATCATATAATATTTTTATAGATAATAAAATTTTATATAGTGATACAATTTATTTATATATAAATAAGTTATATATTAATTTTTTTTGCAGAAAACTTAACAAAAGTATTTTTAATTTTAAATAAAAAAGTTTTTAAAAGTAAAAATAATAAAAAGTTCTATTATAAATTAATTTATTAATATTATCATATACTACTGCATATAGTATTCCTCAAAAATAATACCTCCTATAATTAATACCTAGATACTATTTACTATTCATGTTAACCTAATTACAAATAGTATCCAGATACTTTTCAAAGCTAAACTTTGTGAAAATTGATTAATACTTGGATATAATTATAATGCATTTTAAAATTTGTAAAGGTTGATTTTTATGAAATTTATAAAATGATTCATTTTCATAATTTGTTATAACATTAACAAATTTTTTTATAACAAATGCCTGATCAGTCTGAATGTCAAATTTGGTATGATAGATGATTACTGATTTCATTACATAAATAATTTACTATGATATAATTTTTTAGAAATAATTTTACGTTTTATTTTAATATGCAATCTATTAATTATTATATGACAATTTTATTAATTTATTTTAAAAAAAAAATTTAATTTATCAATTTTTTAAAATAAAATAAAAATAAAATAAAAAATAAAATAAAATAAAATAAAAAATAATAAAACGAAAAGAAAATGAAATGAGATGAAAAAATAAAATTAAGAAAACTAAACGAAACGAAAAATCAAAATTAAGAAACTAAAATAAAACTATAAAATAAAAATTAAGTAAACTAAACAAGATGAAAAAATGAAATTAATCAAATGAAAAAAAACTATAAAACGAAATTAAAAAAATGAAACAAAACGAAAAAATGAAATTAAGAAAATGAAATGAAATAAAAAAATGAAATTAAAAGTATAATACAAAAGGAAAAATTAAATTAAATGAATGATACAAAAAAATAAAATTAAACAAATAATATGAAAAAAATGAAATTAAACAAATAATATAAAAAAAAAATGAAATTTTTATTGCTTTGCAAGCCTTGCAGGTAGTGATGTACATTTTTGATGTTCTAGAGATTTGTTGTCCCAGCTATATATCCCAACCTGTCCCACATTATGTCCCAAATGTCCTACCTGTCCTATCTATGTCCCATTAGCGTCCCATCAGTATCCTATCAATGTCCTATGATAACACTGCTTGCAGGCACATTGTGATTTCGCTATCTATTTTAGTTTTACCTTATAATCTCATCATAATTTTGCCTTATATTTTTTACTTACCTTGTAGTAAGCAAATTACAATTTCTTTTACGAGTGTGCCTCGATTTTAAAAAAGTAAATATAATTAATATAAATTTAAAAATCAATTAACCATTTTTAATTATTACCTGGTCTATCCTAAAATCGAATTCTGAAGAAGTCGTATAATCTTTCTATCATATAAGTCTACCTTCTACTTTTTCTCGCTCTATTTCGATAATTGCAAAAGTCCTAAAAGATATTAATTATACTGTTAAATTATATTTATCATTATATTGTTATTTATTTATTTACTTACATTGTAATTCTATATTAAATTCTTCTATTTTAACTTGCATTAGCAAATTGAATATGCTATATCATATCTTTAATTGATTTATCAAGTTATACTCCTTCAGAATCCTATCTTATTGCCTCTGTACCTTACATAGTACTCTTCATTTCTCCTCTTTCTTTTATCAACTAATAAATCAATTTCATTATCCTCACAAATTATTCTTGTAATCATTTTTGTGTTTGTAAAAAAATATGATTTAAAAGAGTAAATTAAAGTGATTTAAAAATTGATTTAAATTTCAAAAGGTGAAAAATTATACAATAGTAAAAAATACTTCCCTTTATAAATAAATTTATCTATTTGATTTGATATCTTGTGAAATTCTTTACTCATTATTGAAATAATACAATTTTGATTGAAATTCTGATTTGTATTAAAAATAAAAAGTTAAAATAATAATTTAAGTATTATATTATAATTATGCATAGTATTATTTATAAAAATTAAATCAATCCAAAAATAACTTACGCAAATTAATAAATATAATATATAGAGTAGATCAATAATAACAAAATATCACATCGGTGATAAATAAAGATCATTATAAAATTATTTGTCACAATTTAGTAAAAAATCAATAAGCAATTTCAACATAAGTTTAACAAAAAATTGGTCAAAAATTAATAAAAATAATGTGATTTTTCAACACAATTTCAATAAAATTTTAACAAAATTTTAACACATCACGGAGGGTATTATTTAATCAATATAGTATCGTCATTATACTATTCACACTATTATTATCTCACACTATTTTATGTAAAAAAAATTAAATTAGTAACGTAAAATCAACATGTAATACGTAAAAATAACAAATTATATATAAAATGCAAATTTCATAGAAAGTAGGTTTGTTTATTTAATTGTATTTATAATATTTATAATATTCATAATGTTAAGTTGTTAACCCCCAGGTATTAACATAATTTTCCACTTCATTTTTATAATATTCACACTCTGAATCACTTTTATTATCTTCTTCTTAACTTTCTTTCTCTTCTTTTCTCTCTTTTTCAACACTAATATTTCTATCATTTTTACCTAATACTTTTGTAAAATCAAAAATAGAATTATCTTTGGTGCTATCTACTGCTATGAAAATTCCACAACACTTAAAAGATCATTGTACTATTGTAGGATTAATATTGTCCTATGCCTATTTGATCTAAGTTGCTACTAATGAGTATGATGGTCATTTAATTTTATTTGCTAGTGTATATTCCTTTATAGCCTCATTTATCTATTGATTGTAAGCATGATGAACCTGTAATAAAATTAAAAATTAATAAAAAATTCTTTATATTTATATAGGTTAAGTAAATCAATACTAAACTAACCTTTGCTTTAAATGATTTATTTAAAGATACATCTAATGGTTGTAAATGTGAGGTCAGCCTACCTGGTATAACAGCAATATCTGTATTCTTTTCATTAAACTGACATTTTATTGAATCTATTCTATGGTATTAAATGAATCAAGAATAAAAAGAAACGTGAATTTGAATCCAAATTAGCCTGTTTACGCCATATATTTTCCACTCACTAAAGCATTTCTTTCTCATCCATCTAGCCACTTAGATTAGTATAAATAAATACATTATCTGAAAACTGCTTTTATGATACCTTAACTAATTTAAAAATTATAAATAGAAGCAGTTTAGTATCATCTACAAGACAAGCAAGAGTCATTGTAAAATAGATGTATTTATGTCCTATTATAAGAATTGAAATGGTTTTCTTTTTATGCTCTTCAATAGTTATCTGACTTGGTAAATTAAATGACATAGGTGTCTCATCCATGTTACAAATTAATTTTAAAGGATAATTATGTTCAGTTCTTCAATAAAGAATATATGAGAGAAAACTTTGTTGTTGTTCATTATATTTTTTAGGTAATCTTTATGTAACTGTAGTATATTGGTGATTTATTAACAAATAATAAGACATAAACTCATCTGCCCATTTATGAGAAAATTGATATTTGTAAATATTAGGATATAAGATAAGATATTCTTATTTTTAGCTAAATTACAAGCTTTTGCACTAATCATATATTTAGTTACAGTTTTTAATTGACTTCTTAACTCACCAAATCACTCCAAAAGCTTCACTTTAAGTTGTGAATATTTTGGCCTTACACTAGTATTAAGGCGTTGAATATATGAAGCTGCACACATTAAATCATTTTTCTTATTCTTTCAGTCATAAACTTATTTTAGTTGTATATTATATTTATTTGTAGTAGCTCGAACACTATGTCCATTTTAATGGTAAAATACAACAATTAATTTTTCTTTGGTATTCCATTATCAACATTATTTTTATGAATTTATAGTTTAACGTGTGTGAAAATTTTCTCTTGACATTTTTTAAAATACTAATAGTTGTTGATAATTTTTAAATTAAAATTTTGTCTTTTTTTTTGTAATAAGGCAAATTATTTAAGGAAACATCATGAGCCATAACTCAAAAAAAGAAGTATTAATTTCTACATCCAGAAATTCTTTTGTTATTATAATCCAACCCTGATTTTTTAATAGATTACTTAATTTTATAAAGTTGAAAAGATAGAGTTTAGAGACATAGTGTTATCGATATAGAAAGTTGAGGTTTCTTCTATAATATCATTTTGTTTGAATATTTTTATATAAAGGGAGGAAAGTATTAAGTTTTTCTTAATATTTGCAAAGTGTGTATTGAAGGCCATATATATAATGAAAAAGGTTAGAGAAAGGAAAATAAATTTAAATTTTTTTTTTTTTTTTTATTTATTAAAAGTTATATAATTATAACTCTATATATAGTATCTCCTATATATTATATCCTTCTTAAAATAGTACCTGATTCCTCATTTAGTATCTATGAATACTATTTAATTTGAAAAATCACATTTTTGATTAAGACCTTGGGTATTATATATAGTAGTATACGGTATATAATTATAATAAATATTATTTAATTTATCTAATAGTAATAAAAATATATATAGAAAATTTAATTGTAATAATTAGTTTTAAAATATTATGATAATACTTTTACATATATGCTGCAGAATCAGAAAGAAATAAATGTAAAATAATTAAAGAAATATTTTAAAAATATAATATGAAAAAAGTAATAATATAATAATTATATTATTTACTTATTTTAAAATTAACTGAAATTAATTTTATATATAAATAATATCGATATATAAAAAAAAATATTAATTATATTTTACTTATAATCATTATTGTTCTTATCCATAATAATACAAATAGATTTAAAATCAAAAATTAATTTAGAGTATTTATATTATTATTAAAAACTTTAGATAAATATAATTAACATAAAGTTGATACTTAAGATATTGCTTCTCCTTCTTTAAGATATTTTTTATAAAGAAAAGTAAAAAATTAACTTTTTCTAATAGAATATCTACATTTGCAAATACTTGAATTAAATTTTTATTATTTTTCTTTTAGAATTAATTGTAAATAAAATTATTTTTAAAGTTTATGTTTATTAAGATTTTTTTTTGTTTATCTTCATAAATTCTTTTTTTGTGTCAAATGTTTTTTCTTAACAACGAGTATTTACAATTAATTTATGCTTTCATTTACAAAAAATTATAAAAATTACAAAATAAAAAACATAAAAAATATCAGGATTTTTTTCAATTTATAAGTAAATGATTATTATTTTATGATTTTTTGAAAAAATTTTTTAATTTAATAAAAGATTAAACATTTTTTTTTTTTAAAATATTTTTTAAAAATAAATAAAATTATAATATATATTTTAAAAAGATTTAAATATGAAATAAAATTATGATAAAATTTCATTTTTTATAATTAATTTAAAATTTTTGTAATATTATATAAAGTATAAAAAAATTTTGGGATAATTAAATAAATTATTTACATTTATCATATAATTTTATAATATATGTAATATATTATAACATATTAAATATCATTATTCCTATACTTATTATATATTATCTAAATAAGTTCTTTTTTTTCTAATTTAAGTTTAGGTTTTAATATAATATCTAATATATTTCCTTTATAAATTTTTTTATATATAATTTTTTCTAATCATTGTTTTATATACTATTATATCTAACCTTTAATATTTATCATAATAAATATACTTTTTCCTTTTCTTCTTATTTTAACATGTTTTTTAAAAATAATATATTTTTTTTTAATATTTCTGTTAAGTTTTAAATAATATCATTTTAAAATATATTTTTAAATTATAAGAAGAATATATTTTTAGTATTTATTATTATAATTATATTTAATAACTTTTAATAAAATTTTTATCATTCAGCAGATTCTAAATTTTATATATTTTTTTTAAAAAAATATAGGTAGCTTACCAATTTATATAAAATGATTTTCATATTTTTTAATATATTGAACATATAATTTTTCTTTTTTTACATATCCTATATAATTTAATTATTAATAATTTATTTTTTCTTCTCTATTTAATAATTTTATATCGATATAAATTAGTATATACTTAAAAGATATATATAATTATAGGTAAATATATGGAAGACAGTCAAATAAAAAAGGAGAAAATCTACAAATTTTAAGTAATTTAATTATTAAGCTAGTTATATTCACATGATCATGATTAGTAGAGTAAGCCAATAAAAAATTTTTAACTAAAAAGTGGATTTTTTCCTTTTCTACTGATTGTCTCTCATATTATGATTTTCTTTTTAGATTTCTTATTAAACATAATTGATTAAGTTTTATAAACATACATATAAGTCTATATTCATATTAATTAATATTAATTTTGATGATCTAATACTTCTAGAAGTTGATTTAAAAAATTATCAAACTTTTTTATTTCTTTAGTGTATTCTTTTTATTCTATTTTCTTTTATAATTAATTTGAATATGACAAATAAAAAATATGTTAATAAAAAAAATATGAATTTAAAAAAAATTTTATATTTTTATTTTTATATTTAAACAGATTGAATAAGTTTGAAAAATTTAAATAATATTATTTTCTATTGATTTTTTATAATAATTCACATACTTACTATTATATTAACTTTATAGAATCTACTTACAGTTTATAATTAGTTATAATCAAATAGTAAATAATTATAACAAATTATAATAGTTATAATAAATAATACTATTTACAGTTAATACTCAATATAACAAAGTAAGCATCTAAACCAATCAGGCCTTTATTATAAGAAAATTTGTTAACATAATATTATATAATTTTATGTAATATAAAATAAAAATATGATTTTGTAATTATCTCGACATCTAGTGATTGGAACTTTATAAATTTGGTATTATTAGATTTGTTTTATTGAGAAAATTCAAATGATATATATTTATATCTATAGCGTTAATATTGATTGAATTATTGCAGTTTAAAATTAAATCATTTTTATAATATAATTAACTGATTAACTAATAAAAATTGAGTTATAAAATCACGTGCTTCATTGTAGTAAAAAAATTCATTATAAGAAAAATTCATTATATTAAGAGTCATTTTCATATATATTATTTAAGAACTTAACTTCGTACAAGGTTATAGCAAATATAATTAATAAAATTTGCTATATCAAAATTTTTTTCATATGTTAAAATCTGTTTCATACTAAAAATTTGCTATATCAAATAATTCATTATATTAAAATTCATTATATCAAGTGTTAACTGTATAACAAATAATATTATTATAATATATGGTAGTACTATATTGCTATATTATCTTAATTCTAAAAATTATAACTTTATAGTATTAATATATTTGTATTTTTAATGATTTATGATACTAAAGTCAAAGTAAATATGATAATTAAAGAATATATAATAAAAAATGAAGAATATACAGAAGTTTAAAAAGAGATTTCATTCATTATAAAAAGTAAAAATAAAAAGATCTTATAATAGATAATAATAAATAACAAATTTTGAATGATTCAAAATGAGATTTTTATTATTATCTTTATATTTTTAGATAATTTTAAAAAGAAAGGATTAATTTTTTATTATTTTATTATTTATTTTTATGTTTTTTAGGTGATTTTAGAAGGAAAGGTTAATTTTTTATTATTTTATTATTTATATTTATATTTTTAGACAATTTTAAAAAGAAGTGTCAATTTTTTATTATTTTATTATTTATCTTTATATTTTTTAGACGATTTTAAAAGGAAAGAGTTAATTTTTATTATTTTATTTATTTATTTATATTTAGGATGATTTTAGAAGAATTTTAGAAAGGAAATAAATCATATTTTTATCATTAAATTATTATTATATTATTTTTTTTAATAGAAATTAATTAATAGATTTTAGTAATATTTTTGTTATATTTTTTTATAAATTTATATTAGGTTTTTATTATTAATAAAATTTTAATATTTAATAAAATTGCTTGTTTAATTAGAATCAATCAGTAGTATTTTAGGCTAATTTATAGTTATTTAAGTTTTAAATTAATGTTAAATTGATGTTAAATTGAGGTTAATTTTAGACTAATTTATATTAT